TTGTTCCAGAGGGCAAGTGCTGCCACAGAGAAGGCCCTCCCCCTGGGGGTCGCCAGCCGACACTGCCTAGCTGATGGCACCCTGAGGAGTCCCTCTCTGTGGGAGCGTACTGGCAGGTGGGAGGCTATTCGTGGCAGAAGGCGGTCCCACAAATACCCAGGTCCGATGCCATGGAGCACTTTAAAGGTACCTTGAAGCGCACCCGGAAGTCCACCGGGAGCCAATGCAGCTCACGCAGGAGAGGTGTCACATGGGAGCGCTCTCTCGCTCCCATAATCCCCCGTGCAGCCGCATTCTGCACCAGCTGGAGCCTCCGGGTGCACCTCAAGGGGAGCCCCATGTAGAGAGCATTGCAGTAGTCCAGGCGGGAAATGATGAGTGCCTGAGTGACTGTGCGTAAGGAGTCCCGATCCAGAAAGGGACGCAACTGGCAAATCAGGCGAACCTGATGAAAAGTCCCCCTGGCCACTTCTTATCCTTTCTTCTTTTAGTTGATTCAAAGATTTTAATTGTAGTATACCTCCTTCCTTATTAAGAAGCTCTTTATAAGTAATCACATCTTGTTTTTGCTCTACACTTATATTCTCTATCGTATGTCTGGGTATTGCCCACATTGGTAACTTATAGTTTAATTTATACTGATACTTTTTCCAGACACGCAATAAAGCATTCCTTAATATGTGACTTTTAAAAGCCTTATCCACTTTCTTATCATATAATAAATAAGCATGCCAACCGTAAACCAAATCATATCCCTCAATATTCAATATTATTTCTTCTGTTAAGTTCATCCAGTCACTAATTGCTGACAGAGCAGCTGCCTCATAATATAGTCTTAGGCTGGGCATTTTGAGACCTCCTCTTTCACATATATCCTGCATTATTTTTTGTTTTATTCTCGGTCTCTTCCCTGCCCAGACAAAATTATTAATACCCTTCTGCCATATCTTCAAATTCTCATCTTTTTAAAGTATTGGTATCATTTGAAAAAGAAACAAAAACCTTGGCAAAACATTAATTTTTACTGCTGCTATTCTTCCTAACAAGGATAATTGTAATTTTTTTCCAGTTTTCCATCTCTCTCTGTATTTTTTGCCACAATGGATCATAATTATGCTTAAATAATTTCGCATTTGATGTCATAATATAGACCCCTAAATACTTAACTTTTTTTACAATTTCAAATCCTGTTAGTCTTTCTAATTCATCTTTTTGATTTATAGTCATATTTTTAGTTATTATCTTCGTTTTCCCTGCATTTATTTTAAATCCAGATATTTGTCCATATTGATTAATTATGTCCATTAAACCTACAACCGACTGTAATGGTTGGGTAATACTCCAATTAGGTTAACAACTTTCCTTACATTACTCTTCATTTGTCTACCATTTATAAAACCAGTTTGATCATTATGAATCATTTGTTGTATGACTGTCATTAACCTATTTGCTAGTATTTTAGCAAAAATCTTGTAATCTGTATTTAAAAGTGATATAGGCCTATAATTTTTTGGCTGAGTGTGGTCTTGCTCCTCCTTTGGAATCAGAGAAATATAAGCTGTCCTCCAGGATGGGGGTACAACTCCTCCCGATTGTATGTTGGTAAATAATTCTTTGAATGGTCCCACCATTTCTGACTGCAAGTATTTATAATAAGTAGCTGTCAAACCATCCGTCCCAGGAGCTTTACCCACTTTCAATTGCTTAATTGCAAACATAATCTCCTCGGAAATTATTGGTTGATTTAGACCCTACCTTTGCTCTTTTGTAATTGTAGGAATATTCTCTTTCTGTAAGTATCTATCTATATCTATACTTTGAATTTTATCACTAGCATACAACCTCACATAAAATTCTAAAAATGCTTTTTTAATCATATTTTGCTGATAAACCTCTTTACCTTTATATTCTATTTTCTCTATGGTCCGTGACTTTTGTTTTTTCCTTAACAAATATGCTAACCATCTCCCTGGTTTATTAGCATTGCAAAAAGTATTATGTTTAGCGTATTGCAAATTAGTTGCGACCTGATCTTCCATTAACATATTAAATTGCCCTCACAATAAGTTAATTGTCTCTTTTATTTTCTTGTCTACTGGGTTCAATATCAAAGCTTGTTCTTTTTTTTAAATTTCCTCTTCTAAGTCCTTCCTTTTTTTTCCTGTTTACGTCTGTGTTTATTATTCAAATATATCAAAATATCTCTCATATATGCTTTACTTGTATCCCAAACCATTTCCATAGATGTACCCTTATGCATGTTTATAATGAAAAATGCTCTCATTAATTTTTTACATTCTTTTACATTTTCCTCATATCTAAACAGATTTTCATTTAACCTCCAAGACCTCTTAGATCCCATTCCATACTCTAATTCCATCCAAACTGGACTATGATCCATTAAAACTCTTGGGCAGATCTTCATCTTCTTCACCCTAGAAAAGAGATCATTAGTAATTAATATAAAATCAATCCTAGGGAAAGATTGTTGTCTATCAGAAAAAAAGATAAAGTCTTTTTCTTCGGGGTTCCTCTCTCGCCAGATATCTCTCAACTCCATATCATCCATCATTTCAAAAAACGATTTTGGCAATCTTGAATGCATTGAGATATTCTGCAAGAGCCCCTTCTTATCTTTTTTAGTGTCCAAAACTCCATTCCAATCTCCCAGTAAGATACATGATTTATAATCCCATTGTAATAACTTGGAATGTAAAAGCTTATAAAATGTTTCCTGTTAATTGGTTCGGTGCATAGACTCCAATTAAAAGTATTTTTTCTCCTTTTATTAAAAGTTCAATTGCTATAAATCTTCCTTGATCATCTGCTTCAATTAATTTGGCAATTAAATCTTTTTTTAGGTATATAACTATACCATTCTTCTTCTCAGGAGCAGATGCAACGAAATGTATACCTAACCTTGCATTTATTAAATATTTTTGATCTTTACTTCTAATATGAGTCTCTTGTAAACAAATTACATCATTTTTAAACTGTTTCAAATAATGAAATATTTTTCTCCTCTTTTGTGGTGAATTTAGGCCATTAGCATTCCAAGTCCAAAATCTAGTTGCCATTCTTTGCCCCCTGAAGCTTTTGTAGCATCTGCTGAAAATCTCCATGCATTTTACTTTTCGGCCTTGCTCCTCCCACTGCTTCTGTTTTTGTAGTGTCTTGAATCATCTGAAGTTGCTGCACTCTTAATTCTTCTTGACGCTTGGTTGCCGCTTGGGTCTGTCTTTGATCCTTAGGTTCTTCTATCTCCAAGACTTGAACAGTAGTCAAAAGTTGTATTAATTCTTCTTGAGTAATCAAAGCTCCCTTTTGGGCCTGTGCCAACATTTTTTCCTTCTCCCCCTTTCCTGCCCCCTATGCTTCTGTCTTCCTTCTGGCTTCTGGGGGCTGTGGGCATTCAGTCTTTAGTACATTGGTGTAAAAATCTCTTGCCTTCCACACTGAGTTAAGACGATATCTTTCTCCTTAACAGTTCACCACTAGTCCAGCTGGAACTTTCCATCTGTACTGTATCTGACGGTTTCTCAGTTCTTCCACCAGAAAGGCATAATCCCTTCGGGCTCTCAACATTTTGAGGGGGGGGATCTCTTTTGGTATTAAAACCTCCTACCCCTATACTTGAAGTTTATTTTTAAAAGTGACTTGTAGGATTTCATTGTGTATTCTCCTTGTTGTAAAATAGACTACAATGTCTCTTGGTAAATGTTTCTGTCTGGCAATCCATGAATTGACACAATAAATTTTGTCAATTTGCCATTCAAGATTTGTTTTTTGATCTCTCATTCTTTCTCCCATTCAGAAGCAAATGCTTCTGAAAAGATCTCTCTCAAATTCTCTTGCTTATTTTCTTTGAGGCCTCTTATTCTCAAAGCAAATTCCATATCCCTATATTGTATCATTATCACCTCAGCCTCTGATCTTTCCATCTTATCCTGGACCTCCACCATTTTATTTTCCAAGTTCTCATTAGACTGCTTAATTTCTTCCACTTTTTCATCTACTGCTTCAATATGGCCTGCCAGACCTTGAACTGCCATGATAATATCTTCTCTAATTTCGTGATTTCGCTTTTGAATAATCTCTTTAATTTGAACTATCTCCTCAGCAATATCTCGAATTTCATCCTCAAACACCGAAGTAATTTTTTTTCCGTAACAGAGGCTTGAGTTTTAAGGGCTTCCTGCAACATTTCAAGTGTTAATATTGTTGGTTCCGTTGGAACAGAGATTGATTGTAATTTGGACGTTTGAGCTGGCGAGCTCCCAGCACTTTTGGGGACTATAGTCTTTATTTGTTTTGAAGGCATTTTTAGTTTCCAATTTGAATTTATTCAGCAGCCAGAACAATAAATCCGCTAAATCCAAAAATTCCCAGTCTTTAAATAATATCAATCCTTTTTTAAAAAAAGATCACTGCTGTAGTCTTTTTAGCCTTTAATCTTTTTTTTTTAAAGCAGAAATCTCTAATTTTGAACAGGGGCTGCCAGCACTCAACGAAACTTTCCTTTTTAACTTTCACTTTCACGCCCCATTAAAGCTCAATCGTCATCTTGGTTTCACTTTCTCCCCTTAATAAATCAGAAGGAAGTAATACACATTTGGAGTTAAAGTTCAGTACTTGCAAATCTGATCTCTCCTGAGTTTGCTCAGCCTGCTTCCAAATGATGTTTATTCCAAGCATTGTTTGCAGGGGTGGTCGCGGCGTCTTCTTCTGCTTAAAGCAGAAACATCCCGGATCCGGAGCTCTGTCAGGCTTCCAGGGAGCTCTCACCCTTCGAGCCCCAGAATTGTTCCTGGGGCTCCTTGGGGAGCTCTACCTACACCCATCTGCTCTCTTCTTCCCCTTTTCCCAGGGAGAAAGTTTCCAAGCCGCTAGACAGCTGATTTGCACTGTTCTAGCAGCTTTACAAGATCGCGGGGCTGGCACTCACAAAAGGAACATCTTCAGCGCCTGCGGTGCCACCGGAAGTCAGTTCTTTTTCTTCGACTCTGGCATCTCCTGGTACCGTGAAGTCAGTAAATGGTATGTTTCGGTTTTCAACCACTGTGATATCTAGCATGTTGTGTTCCAAGTGATGATCTGTGACAATTGTGTTCCAAGTGACAATGATGATGATGATAATGATGATGATGATGATGATGATGATGATGATGATTCATATATTTAACTTAATAACAACAACCTATTGAAGTGCCAAGGCATACAGTATTGCAGGAGGAGAGGGGGGAAGCCCTTCCAATGCCGATAACCTCCTCTGAGATTAGATCTACACATTATGCCCAGAAATAATTCTCGGTTGCTGGAAGATTTGTTGAGTGTTTCAGATGCTCAGAGATAATTAAGAATTTGTTCAGAGAACAAAATGGCAAACTTGAAAAGTGCAGAAGCTGAACAAATTATCTCTTAAAATCTGCAGTATTTATTAGATGCCATGTAGGCTGGGAGGCAAGTTAACATAAGATGCCACTCTAGTTGTTTGAACAATGGACATTTTAAAAAAAGAATCAAAGAAAAAAAGAATAGAATAAGAACTTAAAAGCACACCACCACCCCTGCTCTGCAAGTAAAAAAACAGTCACCTTTTGCTGCTTGAAATATTTGAGCAGCATAATTCATTTCTGAATGAAGTTAAAGACAGTATGGTCCTGCTTCCTAACCTGGATTCACTATTAAATATTCTTAAAAGTTGTTATGATTGGAGATAAAGTTTTGAATGCTGACAACAGTTTCCCTCTTGTTAGAAACAAAGCGTCAATAGCATGACATGAATAATGGTTGCTCTTGAACTTTTAGCTTCCATGTATTAGCATACCTGAATTGTATTAACCCTGGTCTAGATGAGAAATAGCCTAGAAAGATCAATGCATACAAGCAATCTAGTTTTCATCCCAAACATTAAACAGGATATAGCACATGAAAAACAAACAGATGGATAAATTGCAATGAGGAAATTTGTAAAATGGGAATTTCCAATTAGAGTGTTTGCCTTAAGCTAAATATCCAAAAGTTGTTGTTTTCCAAAAGCTGCTTAAAGTATATCTGAGTCTTTTACTGGTTATCTTAGATGAGGAACAAAATTAGAATCTTTTTTATAATAAACACATAACCACTTCATAGAATCCGATAATAAACTCAGATCTCTTGTTCTTCTAATGGAGGCTGAATTAGTTCTGTTTTCCTGAAGAGAAAGAAGAGGAAGAGAGAGAGAGACAGAGACACAGACACAGAGAGGGAGGGAGAGGGAGAGAGGGAGAGGGAGAGAGACAGAGAAACAAAGGGAGAATTGATTGCTGAACATCTCATAAGGTAATAAGCCCATTGATACTATTCTTGATGTCCACCATTCTCAGCTTTTAAGCTACAAGTTTTGTCATTAACAAAGATATACATGCCAGTTAACTGGTTTTCCTGACATCCAAACCATTTCAGTGTGTCATTGTTTGCATGTGTGTATACTACATCCACTTTCCACAATAAGAATGGTTTCAAACCCTACTTTAAAAATGCTTTAAAAATACAGAAGAATTCTATATTGTTCAATTGTTTCTGGGTCCAATTCAAGGTCCTGGTTTTGATTCTGAAAGCCCTTCATTACACTGGGACGGGGGATCAGGTTATCTCAGGGATCACCTCTCCCTGATTACATCTGACCTCCCATCAGGTCTGGCAGATCTGGCTGAAATTCCCATCTGCCGTGGAATTACATCAGGTGGGTTCCAGGAGGTTTGGCCTTCTCTGCTGTGACACCTGCCTTATAGAATTTTCTCCCTCCCATCCCTCTCAGTATTCCACTTGTCTCTTTAGAATATTTTTTAATTACAACAATTAATCAGTCAGTCTCTTGTGAGATGGGCAACAATACAAATTTGATAAATAAATAAGAATAGCAAGGATGAGCAGAGGACTGCTAAGGCAGCCTTTTATTCCAAGACTAAATACATCCATTTCCCTCAAACTTCCCTTATAAAGGTACAGGTAAAGGTTCCCTTTCACATATGTGCTAGTTGTTCCCGACTCTAGGGGGTAGTGCTCATCTCTGTTTCAAAGCCGAAGAGCCAGCACTGTCCGAAGACATCTCTGTGGTCATGTGGCCGGCATAACTAAACACCAAAGGTGCACGGAACGTTGTTACCTTCCCACCAAAGGTGAGCCCTATTTTTCTACTTGCATTTTTTACATGCTTTCGAACTGCTAGGTTGGCAGAAGCTGGGACAAGTAATGGGAACTCACCCCATTACGTGGCACTAGGGATTTGAACCACTGAACTGCTGACCTTTTGATCGACAAGATCAGTGTCTTAGCCACTGAGCCCCCACATCCCTAAACTTCCCTTATAGGATATCCTTAATCTCAGAAGAAAAAGTTGAGCAGCAAAATGATAGTACATTGAAGTGCAAGATATCATATAAATTGGAAATACAGGTCCGAAACATCAACTTTTTCCCATCTTTTATTGTATTGACAACCAGAGGCCTTAGGAGTAAGAGATAGGAAACTCTATCTCTGTTCTTTTTTCTCCAGATTGAAGACTCTTTCCACCTGTTGTTTACTAAAGAAATAAGAGTACTTTCTTTCTTCTTTCCCCCCTATTTTCCCCCTATTCACTATCATGAAGACTCAAAGGAAACATGATGGATGACTGGACACCATCAAAGTTGGCACCACCAGAGCACAGAAAAACTCAAAGAAATAGTGCAAGATTGAAAGATGATGATGATGATTATTATTATTATTATTATTATTATTATTATTATTATTATTATTATTATTATTTCTATACCGCCCTTCTCCCGAAGGACTCAGGGCGGTGTACAGCCTATTAAAAACATAAAAATATACAGACATCAATTAAAAAATAATTAAAATTATTAAATAATTTCAGCCCAAATTAAAACCCAAAAATTTAAAACACCCAATTTAAAACCCTTTACATTGATAGCCCGGCCTGGCAGAACAGCAGGGTCTTGAGGGCACAGCGAAATACATGGATGTCGGAGATCTTGCGCAATTCTGGGGGCAGTTCATTCCACAGGGCAGGAGCTCCCACAGAGAAGGCCCTTGGCCGATGGCACCCTGAGGAGCCCCTCTCTGTGGGAGCGGACTGGCCGGTGGGAGGCTACTGGTGGCAGAAGTCGGTCTCGAAGGTACCCAGGTCCTAAGCCATGGAGCGCTTTAAAGGTGGTGACCAACACCTTGAATCGCACTCGGAGGACCACTGGGAGCCAGTGCAGCTCGCGCAGGAGAGGTGTCACGTGGGCACAACGAGTCGCGCCCATAACCACCCACGCGGCCGCATTCTGGACCAGTTGGAGCTTCCGAGTGCTCTTCAAGGGGAGCCCCATATAGAGAGCATTACAGTAGTCCAGCCGGGAGGTGACCAGGGCATGAGTAACCGTGCGCAAGGCATCCTGGTCCAGAAAGGGCTGCAACTGGCGAAAGATGTGGAGATACCTAGCCCATAGAATCGCTAAGATTGGGACTGGCTGAATGGATAACATCATCATCATCATAATTGACCCAAAAATATTTTATTTTAAAAGGGAAGGAGAAGGGTTCCACTCTCCAGTGCCAGTTCCAGGACAATTAGAATACATGCCTTGTGCAACTTCTTCTGGTTGGTCATGTGTATTTACTTGTTTGTTTGCACCAACTTCTTTTCACTTTTAATCAACACTATCCTTGACCAGAGCACATGTCTTGGGCTGTGTAGGACTCCAAGAACCATGGAAAGATATCAAGAGCATCCCCTCTTGGATTCTGCCCAGGAAAACCACAGCAGCCTGAAGTACTTCAACCTTCCCCACTGCTACTAATATCCCCATCAAGTTGACCTTTGCTGTTCCTGCCATTTTACAATGTACAAGCCAGCAGGAGATGGTCAATCTTGTCAGCATTAATGCAGATGTGAAATGTGACTCATTACTGTCCTCCTCCATTGATGAATAGGGGCTGGCCAGAGCAATGCAGCTGAGGCATAGTTCATCCCAGTTGCCAGAGAGATAAAAAGTTGGAAACCAGCAGAAAGAACTTGGTGCAATTACATAAATTCTGTTGATGCACAGAAATATCCCATGAGTTTCCAGCGGGGTGGAGAGTGGATGAAGGGTGGATAGAAAAGGAGACAATTTGGAGAAGTCTGGCTTAAGGCAATCCTTCCTTCCTTCCTTCCTTCCTTCCTTCCTTCCTTCCTTCCTTCCTTCCTTCCTTCCTTCCTTCCTTCCTCTTTCTTCTTTCTCCTTTTTTATTTTTTCATTCTTTTCTTTTTTCTTTCCCTCCCTGGCCTAACTCTATAAACCCTATTACTCTGATTGTTTCAGGTCCAACCTCTTCCATAAGGCCTCAAAACAAGGGGTAGAAAGAAGAGCATCGTGTTTGCAACAAGGAGATCAGCTTACAGTTCCACTTCCAACGAATATCAAAGAAAGCTTTGCCAAGGCCGAAATAGTATAGCTACTGTATTCACCTTTTTTTTAGTGACCAAGAGTAATATTTGGACTTTGAATTGGTATAAACAGCATCTTGCAGGGGAGGGATGCCAAAAAAAGAAGAAGGGGGAAGATGATGACCGTAATCCTCCAATCAAATCCTGTCCTGTCACATGTAGGTAGAATGTCAATGTGTGTATCAAAATGGTGAGTCCTCAATCATATAACTGCCATCTGGATTTTTTTTAAAAAAAATTCCACCCTTGTGGTTAGTGAGTTTAAAACCAAACTGCAAAAAAATCAGTGATTCTGATTCAGTGAAATTGTAGTGTTAATAAAAACAGATTAAATAATTACTCCCTAACTCGTTTAATAATTTGCCTTTCTACTGCTTTAAAAATGACCACACTTTATTCAGAATACAGGTAGTCCACAACTTATGTCCACAATTTATGACCACAACTTATGACCACAACCTATGTCCACAACTTATGACCATAACTTAAGTCCACAACTTATGACCACAACCTATGTCCACAACTTATGACCACAACTTATGTTCATAACTTATGACCACAACTTAGGACCACAACTTATGTCCACAACTTATGTCCACAACTTATGACCACAACTTATATTCATAACTTATGACCACAACTTATGTCCACAACTTATGACCACAATTTATGTCCACAACTTATGACCACAATTTATGTCCACAACTTATGACCACAATTTATGACCACAACTTATATTCATAACTTATGACCACAACTGAGCCCAATATTTCTTTTGTTAAGCAAGATAGTTGAGTGAGTTTTGCAACCTTTCTTGCCAGGGTTCTTAAGTGAATCACTGCAGTTAAGTTAGTAACATGGTTGTTAAGAGAATCTGGCTTCCTCATTGACTTTGCTTGTCAGAAGGCCCCCAAAAGGTGATTACTTGACCCTGGGACACTGCAACCATCCTAAATATGAGCCAGTTGCCAAGCATCCTAATTTTCATCACATGACCATGGGGATGCTGCAACAGTCGTATGTGTGAAAAAAAAATGTCATGTCACTTTTTTTCATTGTCATTGTAACTTCTAATGGTCACTAAACAGATAGTTGTAAGTCGAGGACTACCTGTATTCAAGAAACTCAGAAACTCCTACCTTTGTTGCTACACATTTTCTGAGATTAATAGGCTCCACAGAAATCACCATAAGAATTGCATAAAACCTTTTTCAAATATCGATAAACCATCCTCCTGGTAATATATTATAAATCAAAAATAATGCCAAAAAAATAGTTTTGTACTGCAAAAAAAAACCAAAAAAACAACCAGTTCTGTTTTCACTGCTTTCTTACACATTACGAAGGATGGCAGGGGCATCAAAGAATCAAGATGGCAACTGTAACCATACAGCCAAATCCCTGGCCTTCTTTCTTTGTGTTGTGCATGTAAAATTGACAGATCTTTGGCTGTATGGTTATAGCCATCTTCTTGACTATTTTAACCTGCAAATTGGTTCATATATACATACATACATATGTACATACATACGTGTATGTGTTGTTGTTGTTGTTGTTGTTGTTGTTGTTGTTGTTGTTAGTTGCGAAGTCATGTCCGACCCATCGCGACCCCATAGACAACATTCCTCCAGGCCTTCCTGTCCTCTATCATCCTCTAGAGTCCATTTAAGCTCATACCGACTGCTTCAGTGACTCCAGCCACCTCGTTCTCTGTCGTCCCTTTCTTCTTTTGCCCTCAATCGTTCCCAGCATTAGGCTCTTCTCCAGTGAGTCCGTCCTTCTCATTAGGTGGCCAAAGTATTTGAGTTTCATCTTCAAGATCTGGCCTTCTAAAGAGCAGTCAGGGTTGATCTCCTCTAGGACTGACTGGTTTGATTGCCTTGCAGTCCAAGGGACTCACAGGAGTCTTCTCCAGCACCATAGTTCAAAGGCCTCAATTCTTTGGCACTCAGCTTTCTTATGGTCCAAATTTCACAACCATACATTGCAACTGGGAAAACCATAGCCTTGACTATACGCATTTTTGTTGGCAGGGTGATGTCTCTGCTTTTTAGTAAGCTGTCTAGATTTGCCATACATATAAATGTACATGCCATACACACACACACACACACAAACACACGCATGCATGCATACATACATACATGCATACCAGAGGTGAGTTTCAGCAGGTTCTGACCAGTTCTGGAGAACCATAGCGGAAATTTTGAATAGTTCGGAGAACCGGTAAATACTGGCTGGCTCCGCCCCCATCTATTCTCTGCCTCCCGAGTCCCAGCTGATTGGGAGGAAATGGGGATTTTGCAGTAATCTTCCCCTGGAGTGGGGAGGGAATTGAGATTTTACAGTATCCTTTCCTTGCCACGCCCACCAAGCCACACCCACCAAGCCATGCCATGCCATGCCTACCAAGCCACACCCACAGAACTGGTAGTAAAATTTTTTGAAACCTACCACTGATGCATACTGTACATACATATATTCATATACAAATGGCCCATTGGGAACCCCATATTAAAACAACAAACCTTATGTGCGGCCAGAATCTGAAAACAACATTTAATAAGGCACACTACTTGAGTGAGATGGTTCGGCTGAGATTGGCATATGTGGGTCTGATTGGGGTAGATTGTAGGGCTGATACTGAAATATAATTTTATCTTGTTACTTATTTATATATCAAATTATTGTATTTTACTCCAATTTCATTTTAAATTGCTTTTGTAGGATTTTATTAATAATTTGTATTTGGAATTCTAGATTTTGATATGGCCTATGGGCAAATCAATAAATTAAACTAAAACTAAAACTAAAACTAAAACTAAAACTAAAACTAAAACTAAAACTAAAACTAAAACTAAAACTGCACATTTTTGAGAATACCATTCAAATTTCCAGGGGAATAATACCCCAGTAGAGGAAGCTAAGAAACACTGTCTCCTGGTCCCCCTCCACAAACTTCACATAAGGGGAACTTTTCGTACCTCAACTTGGGACAAGTTCCCTAGCAGTTCCATCCCTCTCTTTAGAGAACTTCAGCACCTCTTTCCTTATTTGGAGATAGCACTGATTGGCTCATGATGTTCTCATGTTTCAAATCAAGTAGAAGTCAATTATAGGCCAGTTTCAAACTGTTTGCTAGTGACTGGGGAATGTAAATGGCTCAATCAAATCCTTAAGCAGAACTGCTGTCAGTGCATGGCACAGGGGGGAAAAATGGTTTGTAAGTAACAGTCTTAAAGTTGATGTAGACCAGTGATGGTGAACCTTTTGAGCTAGGTGTATCAAAAATTTGGAATATGCCTAACTTAACATCTCTAGAGTGTCACACCCCATCCCCTAAACAAAAGAGAAACAATTTTTTACATATACATTTATTTTTTTAAAAAAAATAAAGTCCAATCATATTTGTGATCTCCAGGATCTGAAGTGTGCCACACAATATTCTATTGACAGGTCTCTATGGCCTACCTGAGACAGCTCCGGGTCACACAAGACCTTCATGGTTTAAGCTCCTTCAGAGAATGTTCTTCTGTGGCTTCCTGCAGCCTCCAAAAGCCACATGAAAACATGTTCCGTTCTCACATGGTTTTCAGAGGCTCTGAAGGTTGTGCAAGAATCATGTGACTTCTGGAAAAACCAGAGACCTCAGGAGAGCATACCTCATTCTTGCACAGACTTTACAGCCTTCAAAAACTACATGAAAATGTGTACTTTTATCACATGACTTCTGGAGGGTCTGGAGCCATGCAAGAGAATATCCATCTCCTCAAAAAAAAACCAAAAAAAAAAAAACCCAACAACCATCAGTGCTGGGATTCAGCCGGTTCGCACCGGTTCCAATGAATCAGTTGTTAAATTACCCACCCACCCACCCACTATCAAAGTGGATCCTCGGCGCTGTGCTGCAATGAAGAAAGAGGCAATGGAGCAGCTGGCGTGAGGGAAGGAGAAGGCCGCTTTCCCTCTTTCTTCTCCCTGCTCCTCCTCCTTCCCTCATGCCAGCCGCTCTGTTGCCCATTTCTCCATTGCAGTGCAGCACAGCACCCAAAATTCACTTTGATAGTGGCGGAGGGTGGGGGGAAAGCGTAATTTAACAACCAGTTCCTCCAAGGTCAGGTTGGCCATTGCAGGAGCTCATCCCACAGGTTCGATGGAGCTGGAGGATGGGGATGGGTCATGCCTCCCATGACAGCCAACCTGATTCTGGGTGAACCAATTGCTAAATTGTTTGAATCTCACCACTGAAAAACATGTGAGAATGGGGGTGCTTTTAAGAATAACTCTGATGTTGGTGAACCCAAAACATCATAGCACACATGTCATAGGTTTGCCATCATTGGTAGATAGTAGTAGACTATCAACAAACCAATTAGGGGAGGGGAGGGGAGGGAAAGGGAGGGAAACTTCTACTGTCTCTGTCCTGAGAGCTAAATGAAATGCATGCACTTTAGAAAGAGAAATAATAGAAAGAGAAATGCTGTAATGCGAAGAATTTCAAATAGATAATGCTAATGCAATTTACATAAATCCATAATGCATTTACAGAATGCAAAATACTCTAATTCAATAATGTCTCTGATGATTGCTGTAATAACTTTGCATATTTGTAAATTGTATCAGGATTTACAGTTATTTGTGGGTTGGGTATGTGTACTTGTTTATTATTTTCCAAATACTGGATAAAAAAAACCCGATGCCTCTGAAAAGGAATGTATTTTATCTCTCCAAAATAAATTAATTTCTATCCAGATAGAAAAATGAATGTGGGGGTGTATGCAAAGTTGCAGATCTGCATGGATGTGACTCCTCTCCCCATTAATTTTGTGTATACAGAAGATATCCAACATGGAGCTTGAGTTACCCTTAAACACACAGCCCTTTTAACATTAGAATAAGATTCATGTGTCCATTTTTCATTCTCCATGAAATCTATGGTAAGAGAAATTAAATGGGGAATTTCTACACATTTTTCTAATATTTTTTGAAGTGCAAGGGTCCGACATTAATAGGGATAATAACTCTATTTTTTTTTAAGTGAACTATTTTCCCCCAGTGCTTATCCTGTCTTGCAATTTAATGAAAATATGGAAAAAGGGGGAGACTGAAGAAATGATTGTGCAATGCTCTCTGGAGAAATGAATGTACAAGAAAGACAGAACCATCATATCTTTTGCCAGCTCTTATAGCCTGATTTATAGCCTGGTTAAGACACTGAGCTTGTTGATCAGAAAGGTCAGTGGTTCGAATCGCTAGTACAGGTCTCCTGCATGGACTAGATGACCTCCAAGATCCCATCCAACTCTGTTACTGTTACAAGCCAGCCATGTGAAGCTCACTGAAATTCTCTTCTCTCAAAGATGCTTCAAAAGGAATTCTTTTTCATCAAATTGAATGAGAACTTGTAGGGGGGAAGATGAAAGACAATTTCTCTGCCTGACACTATTTTCTTGCAGGTCTGCTCTTTTGCAGGATTTACTTACTGACTGTCATTTAGCTGTACAACCTTTGATGATCCCTAGGGAGCAGGCAAGAGATACAGAAACCCCTACCTCGTTGGTGCCTCCTAGTGGATGTATGACAGAGTCAAGTCTTCAATCCACAGTTACAATGATTTTTTTTTAAACCCAGTAAAATATTCAGCAGTACAAGAAGACAGGTTTTTTTTTTAAAAAAAAAACAATAACAACAACATCAATTATTTGGAGTACAACAGAAAAGGGGGGGAAATTGCACCACTTAAAGAAAATGCAGCACCGCCCGTGCCAGTTAGAAGTGATTTTTCATGTGCTACATTATGTTGAAAAGGGTATGAATTTCAACTGAGGGAACCTACCATGGATCTTAGGATGTTGCATGTTTAAACCCTGTAGAGAGTAGCATGACCTGGATGGATTCCATATACATCATGTGGTGTAGAGGAAACAAAATTAATGTTTATGCTCCTCCTGGAAGAGAGGGGAAGATAAAAAGGCAGCTGTGTAGAAAAGCCTTGGGATATTCTTTAGCACCATAGCTGACCTCTATCTCTTTTCTGGACAAGTGGACACACTTCCAATCAATGCATTGGGCTACAGCTACCTACCCTGAGAACTGTGGGGATTGAAAATAAAGCTGTTGGAAATAAAGATAATGCTGCCAGCTGGTGTTTTGCTTTACCAAATCCCATTTTGTTATGTTTTTATTTTTAAGGAAAATAATATGTCCTAAAACAAAATAAGGATTGTATTAGACATCAGTAGAGATATCTAAAATATAGATCATCCTTCCACAACTTGGATATTGTCTTGGTGTGTGGAGTTTAATGTGCAGAATTCCATAGAAAGCTGGGCCACTATAGAGAATTCTGGGAAGTAAAGTCTTTCCAATTGGAGATACCTATAGGCAGGTATAAATTTAGAATATAAATTTCTAAAATAAAATAATCAATTTAAGTTTAAAATAGATGATAGAGGATGGAAGGATGGAAGGAAGGATGGATGGATGGATAGATGAATGGATTAGACAGACAGACAGACAGACAGATAGATAGATAGAGGTAGATAGGTAGAGGTAGGTAGGTAGGTAGGTAGGTAGGTAGGTAGGTAGGTAGGTAGAGATAGAAATAGATGGATGGATGGAGAGAGACAGAGAGAGAGAAAGAGAGAGAGGCAGGCAGGCAGACAGGCAGACAGGCGTGTGTGAGAGAATCTATCCACAAGTGAAAATTAAGATCCTTAAATTAAGGTCCTTAATTTAGTGTAGATCTCTTAGTTCCCACTTTTAAAAAGCATTCTTCAGCAGAATAGGCCCTTAAACAAGATTCTGATTTTTTTATATCAACAAAAATAAATCCAGCTAGGATATGAGAGGGGTTCCCTGTTACATAGAATTAGAAGATTTTCATAATTCACTTGTGCTTAATATCTCCACTTTATAACTTGTCCCATTACTTATCTTTATTATCCCAAATGTTGTCAGGGAAGATGATAGCACTGTAAGGCAGATGATTTAAAAGCAATGGTGAAAAATTGGCCCATGAGGTTTCAAAGAAAGAGCAGGAACAGCAAGAACTGCCTACCATCAAAAGTAGCTAGGGGGATAAAGGTGATTTTTATAGTTTTCCTCCTTTCCGGCTCACATTTGTCTTAATTAATCACATTTTATGTCTTCTCCAAGGAGTTCATGGTGATTTCCATAGTTCACCTCATGGGTGGGTCTACTTACCTTTACTACCGGTTTGCAACGGGATCGTATGAGCAGATCGCAGGTGACGACATCTGGGGCAGTGGGCGGGGCCCTGCCGGTTTTACTACTGGTTCTTGCGAACTGGTCCGAACCGGGGGCAAAAGAGAAAAAGTTACTCACTCAAGCTCAAACCATGAGCATCATGGTTTACACAAGATTTATTTTTTTTTCTTCTCCAAAGTTTTATGGTCTTGTGCAGAGGGAAAGGTAGCTTTGAATGCATAAAGGGAGGGTGGGAAGGATGCAAGCAGCCTCCCTCTCTGTCCTGCATTCAGGGTAAGGATCAATCTCACCTTGCCTGCAATTAGGTGCAGAGGAGAATCATAGATTTAGAAAGATCCTTGAGGCCATCAAATCCAACCTATTATTTGGATATATTGGCCACCAGAATGCACCACATAACTGATTTAATCCCACTGGGGGTCATCATAGATGGTAGCCAGTTGTTATTCACATAACTTTTGAATTTTAAATGACTATAAACAGTGCATTAGCTCAGTGTTGACATCCAATTTTTTTTACTACCAGTTCTGTGGGTGTGGCTCAGTGGGCGTGGCAGGGGAAGGATACCACAAAATCTCCATTCCCACCCCACTCCAGGGGAGAATACTGCAAAATCCCCATTCCCTCCCCACTCCTGGGGGAAGGATACTGCAAAATCTCCATTCCCACCCTACTCTGAGGCCAGCCAAAGGTGGTATTTGCCAGTTCTCTGAACTACTCAAAATTTCTGCTATCAGTTCACCAGAACATGTCAGAACCTGCTGGATTTCACCCCTGCATTAGCTCTAGAGCAGGGGTGTCAAACTCGATTTCATTGAGGGCCACATTAGGGTTGTGTTTGACTTCAAGGGGCTAGGGTGGGCGTGGCCAGGTGGGCATGGCCAGCTTGATGTCACTCGTATTGGGGGCACCTGTAGTGGCCTGAGTGCTCTGCCAGTGAAAATGGGCTCCCGAGCTCTGTTTTTGGCTGTGATGGCCTCCTGGAACCCTCTGCTGGCAAAAATGGAGCTTGGGAGAGCTGCACATTGCCCTCCTGAGCTCCATTTTTGCTGGCAGAGGCACCATGGGCTGGTCCTTTGCTGTTTCCAGGGTGGCCCTGTGGGCCAGATCTAAGTACCCTGGTTGGCCGGTCCAACCCGTGGGCCGGTCCAGCCCATGGGCCTTGAGTTTGACACCCCTGCTCTAGAGTATTAGCTCTACATTGTAAACAGAAGAACAGATGCTTTGGAATTGTGGAGGTGGAGTAGACTCTAGAGAATCCCTTGGATTACATGGGGATCAAATCAGTCAATCCTAAAGGAAATCAACACTGACTGTTCTTTGGAAGAGCAGATACTGAAGCTGAAGCTCAAATACTTTATCCATCACATGAGATGAGAGGATTCATTGGAAAAGACCTTGATGCTGGGAAAGATCAAATACAAAGGGAGAAGTGGAAGGCATAGGATGAGATGGTTTATATAGTGTTATCAACACAAAGAATATGAATCTGGGCAAACTCTGGAAGGCAGTGGAGGACAAGGGAACCTGGTGTGCTATGGTCCATGGGGTTGCAAAGAGTTGGATACGATTTAGCAACTGAGCAACAAAATAAGCAGAACATTTGGTTCTGGCACTCAAATAATTTCAGGAGAGATATAGAGAGCCAATCAGAATGTATATCCAGTCCACCTTCCTTACATTCTTAAAACAGAAGGGCATAAATGCTACAGTATATTGTCTATTGTTGCAGTTGAAGCTGAAGTAGTCATTGACAGGTAGGACATTGTAGTAGATAATTTTATGTACTACGCTTAGGTCAGTCCGAAGGTGGTTTAGGCAAGTTTGGCTTGCCCAGTTTCAGACTGAAAAGTAAAAGTAGTCCTTGAAATTAATCAGAACTCAAAATGCCACATTCCTTCAGTCTTGATTTCTACCTCTGATTAACATTAAACAGTTTCATTTATTTTGGTTTTAGGACGGGTGTAACCAAACTTTTAAAAGGTTATGGATTATCCTTCGAAAAAAATGGCTAAAACTAATAGGTATCCACAAGGATGGCCTCTTTCTTCTTGTGGCCTTTTTTAGTCTGTTGGATACAAAGGTAAATTGTGATTCTATGGATTCTTTATTGAAGCAGTTGTGATTCTGAGATATGCATTCAGCCAATAGTACTAGGTATGGACTCTTAGATGAAACACTGGCAAGTTAGACAATCACTTGAATGCAATCATTTATTCACTTTGATCAGATAAATCAATCAAATACTGTTCTTTGGCACCGCAGAGTTTTAGTGAACTCTGCTAGTGAACTTTAATATTTTATCCTCAGTGCTTCTTGATGGCAGATTTAAGGAGATGAGTTGATGCCAAAGGTTAGGCCCTTATGGTGATGAATTGCTGGTCCATGTTTTATTATTCTCATGCAACATTTTAATAATATCTCTTAGGGAAAAAATATCTCCTGGACAAACAGTGTTTTGTCCAATCAAAATTTTAACTTAAAGTACATAGTAACCAAATCAATAGCAAGCAGCAAATATCTAATTTTCTTTTTCCTTTCCTTCACTCCGTCTCTTCTATATTTTGTTTAACTGGCAGTTTTATATTCGGCTGTGTTAAGATATTATAAATGTTAAAAGGTAAATCAATATTGCCTATCTCCCATTATATTTTCTGTTATGTCAACATGACTCTGTGATACCTCCAGGACCACTACTTCCAGGTAGAGACACTGCTCATCTCAGTGTAAAAATTTCAGATAGAGTTATAAGAGATAAATATATATAGTGCAAATGGAGTTCAAAGCCAGCTATTTAATCCAAGACTAGACTTTAATCCAAGACTATTTACTAGATGAATAGTAGAAGCAAGATTTGAACCAGTAACTTACTAGCTTGCTATCTGTGATATTATTTCCATAGCTGTAAAATGAAATAAAGTTTACGCTGAAGTTTAAAATGTTCTCAAGTCAACATGTAGTCATATTTGTAAAAGTAATCCTTGAGTTACAAATATAATGGAGCCTGCCCATTCCATTTGTAACCTGAGGATTTGTGGGAGTGAATCTCATACCTTGAATGGGATCACTCCCTCCTTTCGCCCATTCATTCGCTAATCAAATGCGAGGCTTGTTAAATGTACATGAGGTATTTCAGGGTGGGAAAGGCCATGAGGGTGCCTACTGATGGAACAGGCTACCTGCCTAAGACCATCCAAGGCCTCCCTGACCCACTGAAATATCTCATGCTCCCCAAATTGCTTTCCCCAGAACCTGCCATGCTGTGTCACTTACCTTGTGAAGATCTAGCAAACAGTCTCCTCTCCAGCCTCATACACCCCTCTGTAGTTCCGTTCAGGCCTCCGCAGGCCTCCGCTGGCCTGTTGCAGGCTGAAATGGAACTTCCGGGTGCTGGACCAGCACTACAAGGCTTCATTCAATCCTCCACGGGCCTTCCCCAGCCCATTGCAAGCTAAAATGGAGCTTCCAGGGATCAGATCCAGCCCCTGGAAGCTCCATTTTGACCTGTAACAGGCCGGGGGAGGCCCGCAGAGGGCTGAACGGAGCTTTGGATGGCTGGATCCAGCCACTGGAGGCTCCATTTCAGCCTGCAGGCCAGGGGAGGCCCACAGAGAGCCAAACGGGGCTTCTGAGGGGCAGATCCACCCCTCAAAAGCTCCATTTCAGCCAACAACCTGCAGGACAAATGTTGTAGAGCCTCTGCGGTTGTTTGTAAGGGCAAACAACTGCCGTGGTGCTGCAAGATTCTTAGTTTTGGGCCTTGTTCAGAAATACTAGGGGACACTGATCATGTAACTTCGAATGCTCGCTAAAGGAACACTCATACACTGGGGATTATCTGTACACCTTAGTTATAATCAGTGTTCCTTACCTCATGCCATAGACCTTACTTTCTATTGATTAAGTGGAACACAAAAGCTCGTGTCTTGATACAATTTTTCATCTTTAATCTGCTTCAAGAAAACAGGAACAAGTCTAGTGTATCCCCTAGTAACAGTAGAATGTTTTTAAGAAGTCCAGTTATGAAGAAGTTTTAAAAATCCTTTGGATATTCGCAAGTAACCACTTGATTATTGTAAACTCTGTCAATGGTCAGCAGCTATTCATAACACAGAAAGGAGGGATAGCAATAGAAGAGAATATTTGTAGGTCAGGGTTGAACTGTGGGGTGTTTGGTTCTCTCTGAAATTGATTGTTTTCTTGCAGATGTTTCATTACCAAACTAGGTGTCAAAACTGACTCAGCCTCATCATTGTCCACACCTGATTTCAGCTCTCAGGTGCCAAACAGAAACGGGAGGGAGGGTTTGGTAAATTCCTAGGGAGGAGGGAGGGCTCAGGAATGCATGAGAGCCTTCTGTCATCTGAGAAGAGATACCTACCAAGGTCAAACTCCGAGAACTGTTCAAATAGCAGAGACTGTTTTCCCAAAACAAAAGCACTGCATGTAATTGTTGGACAATGAAGAAAAAGAGATTTTACCTATGTGGGTTTTCACATGAAAACCTCAGAACTGACTTTGCTTCTGCTTGTATCTAGATCTTTCAATAAAGTCCTATTGTTGGTATACTCATTGGACCAGAAGTTCCTTTTTTAGAATGTGCCAACTAGGACGGTTGTCATTAGGTAACATCATCATGTTCCCTGATGATGCACTGAAGATGATGTTACCTAGTTTGGTAATGAAAGAAAGCACCAAGTACTTCAAAGTTAGGATTGCTTTCACCACAGGCAGAAAGGTGAAAACCAAAATTTCCAAACTGTTGGAATATGCACGGAAAACGTAGTTTTGCTTCCAATTTCAGACTGTCCAACTTCAGTATGATACACAATAATAATAATAATAATAATAATAATAATAATAATAATAATAATAAACAATCTTCCACAGATAGACACAAATATAGAAGCCCACCAAATTACAAAGAAGGTAGAGGGGGTAGAGAAAATTCAAAAGAGAGGAAATCTGGGTCACTGAATGGGCTAAATAAACAAGACAGCACCAGAACACAGCAGGATGAGAATAACAATTGGCTTATTGATTCTGGTGCAACAAATCACACCACCAACAACAAAAGTATATTATCTTCATTTATAGAAGATAAGTTTGTGATAAAGGTAGCTAATCAAGAAAAGGTTCAAGTACTAGGCAAAGGAAATGTGACCTTGCCTGGTCTAGGGAAAATAGAGGGGGTATTATTAATCCCAGAAATACCTCACAACATACTAAGTGCCATAAAATTAAGCAGAGAATCTGATATCAATATAGTTTTCTCAAAGGGGAAAGCAACTATAGAAAAGAACAAAACAAATGTAGGTACTATAATGATAAAAGGAGGTCTACCCTATCTGATAACTAAAGAAAGATGTTTACATAACATTGATTCAAATATGGAAGATTATATTGAAGCAGATGATGAAAATGTCAGTAACAGTGACAATGATGAGTGTAGAATAACTCATGATCACAAAAACACATACAAGGAAAAGAAACCAAAAATAGGTAAACCAATTCATGATGAGTGTGCTCACATCTTACACAGGAAGTTAGGACATGCAAGCTTTCCTGTAGTACAAAAAATGACTGAACACGCAGAAGGTGTCAAAATAAAAAATTGTGAAAATTATTTGGAATGCTCAGTATGTAAGTCCACCAAACTAAAAACCAGTCCCAGACCAAAAAAATCTAACAGATCAACTAACAATATTTTTGATTTGGTACATATGGACTTAGTTGGTCCATTAAGTCCCTCAATTACCTATAGAAAACGTTACTTCCTAACAATAGTGGATGACTACAGCCGATATGGTTTTGTTTACACATTAAAGCACAAGGATGAAACATTTCAGAAATTTAAGGAATTCTACAAACGTATAGAAACACAACATAATATCAGAATAAAGCAAATTATGACAGATAGGGGATGTGAGTTCATGTCTAAAGAATTCTCCCAATGGTTAAAGGATAGAGGAATGTTACATTTCACGTCCAATCCTTTTTCTGCATTTCAAAATGGAGTTGCAGAGAGGAAAAATTCCACACTACAAACCATGATTAGGTGCACATTAGAGGATGCTGGTTTAGGCAAACAATTTTGGTCAGAGGCATTACATTATTCGAATTACACTCAAAATAGAACCTGGTCCAGTATTGTGAATAAGACACCATATGAGGTGATATACAATAGAAAACCCAAATTATCACACATGCACATATTTGGAGTCACTGCAGACGTACACATACCTAAACAATTGAGGAGAGAAAGGGAGAAAACGTATCCAGGAGATTAAGATTCATGGGATACGAAACTGGAACCAAAGGGTACAGATTTATTGATAGTAATAACAAATTTATAGTATCCAGAACAGCTGTGTTCCATGAACAGGCCAATTGGTCAAAATTGCACCTTAATGAAATATTTCCTAATAAATGTAAAGATACGATATCTTGCGAGGAAGGAACAACAGAAAATCAAAATATTAACAAAAGTAAGAACAAAACCAAAACTTGGACTAATAGTCAGCATAAAATAAAGACAGACACATTAACAAAAAAGGAAGCTAGATATTTGCATGATAACCATAGCAAGCCTGAAAGAACTATTAGAAACAATAGAAACCAAATACCAAATAAATACAAAGATTACATAATGCATATGAATGGAGAACAAATAACACCTAATACATATGAAGAAGTATTGAAACTTCCACATGAAGAAAGAGAAAAATGGGAACTAGCTATGGAAAAAGAGATGGAAAGTTTACAAGGATTAAATGTATTCACACCTGCGATCGCACCTAAGGATAAAACAATTATAGGTACCAGGTGGATTTATAAAATTAAGAACTTAGAAGGAGGCAATACCTTATACAAGGCTAGACTAGTTGCACAAGGCTATGCACAAAAATATCCAGAAGACTATACTGATACATATTCACCCACAGTGAGAACAGAGAGTGTCAAAACAGCCCTTGTAGTAGCATCTGCACTCAATCTGGACGTATTCCAATATGACATACAGACCGCATACTTACATGCAAAATTAGATAAGGAAATATATGTAAGAGCACCACACAGTCAATACACTAATAAGAACGAAATTTGGTTATTAAATAAGAGTCTGTACGGATTAAAGCAATCCGGCAAAAGATGGTACGATTGCTTGGTAAAAGTACTTAAGACCATGGATTTCAACGCCACCACTGCTGATAACTGTTTCTTTGTAAAAAAGAGTAATGATCATATTGAATTTGTATTAATTTACGTGGACGATATTTTATATATTGGAAAGCATAAAGAGAGCAGGGAAATCTTTGTAAATAAGTTAAATGAACACTTCTCACTGAAATCTCTGGGTAAAGTGAATAAATACCTTGGTGTGCAAATTAACAAAACTAAAAGGGGATTCAAACTTACACAGAAAGATAAAATCATCGAACTCCTAAACAAATGTAACTTAAATAATGCTAAAACCTGTGACACCCCTATGCAAACTGATTTTCTTAGAAACACTGATGAACCTTCCCCTGAGTTTAAAGACAACACATTTTACAGATCAGTTATAGGTTCACTCCTTTATATATCTAATTGGACTAGGCCAGATATTGCATTACCTCTCAATCTATTGTCAAGATATGTTAGTAAACCAACCTTGTATCATTGGGAAGCTGTCAAAAGAATTCTAAGATATCTGAAGGGTACATTAGATTTTTGTTTAATGTTGGAACCCAATAATGACAGAGAACCAAAAATTACTTGTTATGCTGATGCAGATTGGGCTGGTGATACATCATGCAGAAAGAGTACTTCTGGTTATGTTTTTTCTATTGAATGATTGTCCAGTTTACTGGTATACTGGTAAACAAGAACTAGTAGCCACTTCTACTACAGAAGCGGAATATGTTTGTTTGTCCAAAGCTGCAAATAACCTTGTATGGTTCAATGATCTGATCACTGATGTTTGGAAGAAACCCACCTTACCATTTATTATGCATGAAGACAATAAAGCGGCCATTGAAATATCCAGATCCGATGCAATTGGACAAAGGTCCAGGCATATTGATATAAAGTTTAAGCATGTGAGACAACTGTCTCAAGACGGATTCATTAAAGCAATACATTGCGATACTTCTGAACAATTAGCTGACATATTAACAAAACCCTTACCTTCTAAACAACACAAATATTTAACTTCTAAATTATATGTATTATATTGTCCTGAATCAGAATGTAATTGGTGTTGTGTAACGAACCGGCATTTAGAGGGGGATTTGTCAGATGTAAAT